AACCATGGCTAGCATCATACCCCACATATACTACGATATTTCCTGTATATACATACCTATGTTAAAGTTCAATTTATAAAGTAGGCACAGAAAGAGATAAACAAAAATAACTAATAATAAAATAGAAAAATTATAATAATACACTGTAATAAAAGCTATGTGATTGTGGTCTCCCTGTTTCAAAATATCTTATTATACTGTACTCACACTTCTGCTTGTGATGCTGTGAGATGGTAAAATGCCCATGTGATGAGATGAGTGCAGTGAATGACATGGGCACTGTGATGTCTATTCAGACCACTGTTGATCTGATGATATGTCAGAAGGAGAATCATCTGCTTCAGGTGGTCCTGGATCATCGAGCCATGATGGCGTCAGTGGTTGAATGTCAGGAGCAGAAAATGTCCGTGATTGGGGAAATTTAATATTTTCCAGGCTTGGTTAACTGTGGGAAACTGAAACCACAGAAAATGAAACCATACTAAGTGGGGGCTATATATATACCCTTGCCTGCTAAGGTCAAAAAGCAGAAAAGGGAGCATCTAGCTAGTGGTTTTTTATACAAATTAGAAGCAATAACAAAATACATTTGCAAATACTTGGCTTTGTATTTAAACAATTTATTCCGTATCTGTAAGCAATAAAGCATAGCATATCCCTAAAATACATGTGTGTTTATATATACATATTTTAAAAATAAATGTATGCTATCAAAATATAAAAACTGTTGCTTTTCATGCTGTGCTAATATCAAAAGACTGAGCATTTAACTGCTATGTAGACATGGCTTTTGCAGGTGAATTTGCAAATCTAAAAGGCCTAGTATATCCTACATTAAATTCACTTAATTTAAATAGTGACAGCTCACTGTTTTATGCAAAATGATCAATTTGATCAAACAATGAATAGAACTAGTAGAGAGATTTGCCTATATTAACAGACCTAAAGATTGGGCTACAAATCCAGCTATTAAGATTCCAAGTGTGGAAGAAATTCAAGAAAGTAAGCAGCTAGTAAATAAAAGAGTTTTAACTTGCAGTGAAAATAAGACCTATGACAATATCAAAGTAGTATATTCATTGCCATCATAATAAAATCTTGTTATAAATCTGTTAAGTATAGAGAAAGAAAGTGAAATTTTTGATATGATGATTTAATAGGCCAATAGAATGTTCTCTAAATAGAGAATGTAATTCATAAAAACATGAAATATCCCACTGAATTTTGGCAATAAATAGTTTATCCTCACCCGAGGACATTTTTCCATTTTTTGTTCAGGTAGAGTGGGAGGGAGAGAGAGGAACAGAGGGAGAGAGAGAGAAACATCAATGTGAAAGGGACACATCGAGTGGCTGCCACCCGCACAACCGACCAGGGCCGGGGACAAACTGCAACCGAGGTACGCGCCCTTAGCGGGAACCGAACCCAGGTCTCTCAGGACCGCAGGCCGACGCTCTAACCACTGAGCCAAACCGGCCAGGGCGGCAATAAATAGTTTAAAACTTAACATTGTACAAATACTTTGAACCAGAAAGTCCACTTTCTAGAAATTATAGTAAGGAAATTAGGAGTTTAATAAGAAAGCTTAAAGGGATTTAGTTATAATTATCATACTGCTATTAATTATAACAACAAACCTTATTAATGGTTTGGTTGTACACATTATTTATAGTATGGAACACATAGACTCTATATAATAGAATACTTTGTAGCTATTAAAATTATACTGCAGAAATGTATTTATTGATATGGAAATATATTTGCAATATTGTGCTATATATAAAAAAAAGCCCAGTTTTACTGTGGTATATAAATAAGTATGATCCCACATATATGAATATTTGTATGGGTGTGTGTGTTTATTTTCAGGAAAAATAATCACTAAAATATTAAGAGTGGTGATCTCTGAGTGGTGGGGTGTGTATGATTTTTATTTTCATGTTGTTTCTCTATCTTTGCACACTTTAAACAATAACAAATACAACAGGAATGAATTGCTCCATAGTGCAATATTATTCTAGCTAGAATTAAGTCTGGCTTTGTTATTATTCTCTTAAAATTGAGAAACTCCAATCTCAGTAATTTTCTAAGCCCCTCCCTTCTCTTGAGATTGCAAAAGAACCCCCAGGAGATTGAAGAAGGGCCTCTGATCTTCAGCTCATTGTGGTTGGCACTCCTGATCCTCCTCACTAAGGTAACACACTCCACCCAAAGGTGGAAGGCCCTGCTGGGAGCCATGTGCTTTGTGCTCATGGGGCACAGGGGCCTTCACTGGGGTTTAACAGTCATTCCCATTCTGCCTTTTAACTCCACGGTGGTTGGTGGGGGCTTGGGAAATGACATGCTTTCTTTTTTCCTCCTAAATGAATAGTATTAAACAAACAGCAATAAAAACAAAAAAGGAATTTTTTAAAAAGTAAATTACCCTGTTATGCCTTTTAATTTAAAAATGTGCTTAATGAGTTTAGTTTGAAGATACTGACATTTAAACTTTATTTTAAAATTTATAAGAGTAGCAACAACTAACTAGGCTTAATACTTTTAGGCAATGAATGGTACAAATGAACACACTTTTTTTATCCTTAAGAAACATAATTAAATTAGCCCTTTTTGTTGTTTTTGTTGCTTCCTGGAGAATGGTAAAAAGAGAGACTTGTTTGAGGTATTCAGCTACACTTCTCCCTTAGGTCCCACCTCTTGCCATATCCACCCTCCCCAAACCTTGCTGCTAAGGCAGTGCTGGGTGTTCCGACAGTCATCTGGATCATACAGCTTTAGATTGAGATCCTCCTTTAGCTGAATGGACAGGACCTAATGCTGAGAAATCACCAGGCTGGCTGGAGATGGTCTAGTGACTGATCATATACAGCCCCTTAATATATATATACATATTGCATAGTTTTTTGGGAGCTGGCTCTAAAGGATTTGGTTATGCAATGCCTGAAGGAGGAAGAAAACTTTATACCAAAGGTGGATGGCATTGGTAATATCTACCAGATTTTAAAAGAGCTCATCTGCAGAGACAAGGAGACTAAAGCTAAGAAGAGCTGACACAATAAAGATCATCCTGGTGACTGTTTGTAGGGCACATGAGGGTGACATTTGAGCCCTATCCTGTCACACTGTGTCCCTTCAGTAAAAACACTGGGTAGTTTATAATTTTGGTTCTAGATATTTAGTTGAGATTAACAAATGAGATCTCTAGTATTGACCTTCAGCATGTAATGAATTGTTTTACAAGAACTGGTCAATTGTCTTTCATCTTCACTAAAGGTTGGGAGTCTGAATTACAGCCTGAGAAAGTCCAATTGCCAGACACTTGGGTATTGATTATCTGTGTTTCTCCTCCGTGTTAAGGTCTACTCTTTATTAAGCACTTACGATACATCAGGTTCTATGCTAACATTTCACATACTTTATTTCTCCATTAAATTCATAAAACTTTGTATCATAGGTATTACATACCCCAATACACAGGTGAAAGACTGATGCTTAAAGATTTTAATGCTTTTCCAAGTTTACATAGAACAAGCTAAATGGTAAAACCAGGTTAGTCTGATTTTAAAGCCTTGCCCTTAACTGCTGATTTTAAACCATTTACAAAGCTTTTTGCTGCAAGTAACAGAAAAATCAACTGAAGTTGCCTTAACAAAGAAACTGCTATAACTGACACAAGCAGAGGCCCAGCTCCTGGACAGTGTGTCAGGGCTCCTGCCCCTTCACTGGGATGCTCTTAGCTCTGCCCCCCACCCCTCTATGTTTTAGCTTCATTCTCAGGCTGATACCAAGATGGCTCATCAGTTGCAGGCATCATATTCAGATACAACAGCATCCAGAGGAAGAAAGGAGACTATGCATTTCTTTTTTTTGGGTACATGCCCCTAGCAGGAACCGAACCCGGGACTCTCTGATCCACAGGCCGATGCTCCAACTGCTGAGCCAAACCGGCCAGGGCTGCATTTCTTTCCTCTCTTTTAAGAATAAGAATGGCCCTGGCCGGTTTGGCTCAGCGGTTAGAGCGTCAGCCTGCGGTCTGGAGAGACCTGGGTTCGGTTCCCGCTAAGGGCATGTACCTCGGTTGCAGTTTGTCCCCAGCCCTGGTTGGTCGTGCGGGTGGCAGACACTCGATGTGTCCCTTTCACATCGATGTTTCTCTCTCTCTCTCTCTCTTCCTCTCTCTCCCTCCCACTCTCTCTGTACAAAAAAAAAAAAAAGAATAAGAATGAGGAAACTTTTCCTGAAAAGCTACCCCACTCCCAGAAGACTAACTCCATGTCTTTGTTGCCAGAAGTAGGTCATATGCATGTTCTTAAACCACTTTCTAAAAAGAGGAATAGGATTACCAAGATTGGTTTAGATTATTCATCTGGAGTGAAGATATTTTTCCATTGATTTTTAGATAGAGTGGGAGGGAGGGAGAGAGAGAGAGAAACACTGATGGGAGAGAGAGATATTGATTGGTCGCTTCCTGCATGCTCCCGACCAGGGCTGGGGGTTGAACCTGCAACAGAGGAACGTGCCCTTAACCAGGAATCAAATGCAAGACTCTTTGGTCCTTGGGCCAACACTCTAACCACTGAGCCAAATGGGCCAGGGCTGAACTTTGGATATTAACATTACCTTATTTCCTAACCTCAGTTTTCTCACATTCTTATTTTTTAATATATTGAAATATGTCTTTTATTGAAGTGGTCTCAAATCCTTTTTAGAATGAGGTGAAGTAAAAATAATGATTAATAGCTATTTACGCACTTACATTTAAAAATAGTGCTGATTTTATTTCTAACCTGCTTTTCTGTCTGTGAACTTCTTACAAAAGAACAGGGCTAAAACAAATTATGTGTATATTTATGACATTTTCGGCCTATTGTATAAGTCTGGCTTATTTTTTTTAGGAGGAACTCCTTGACAATGATCATTGTTAAGCCTAAGATTTGAGTGTTAAGGGAAGTTATTGGATTTCCTCTGGAAGTCTTTGCATGTAAAAGATTAAGACTATCATCGATTCTTGCCTTTTGACTAAGATCAAGTGGAGTTGTCGATTCTTATCAGTTTAATATCTGATATGTCCTCTATACAAGTACAACATATTAAAAGGATTTTTAGAGCAGGGAGTTAGAATGGGAGCTTGCTCCATCCCCTCCACGCATCCACCCGGTGTGCAGAACCTCTAGGAATGTTGCAGCTCCTCAGGGACAAAAACAAAACAAACTAACAACAACCACCAAAAACCCCCACTAACTACCCACATGATTGAAGCAGTTTTGCTGGATGAAAAAGTCTCCACCAATAATTTATTCACAATCCACATCTTAATTTTCTAGATCGAGAAGGGTCAGATTCTGCCCAAAAGAAGTTTACAAACTAGATGGAGAGATAACTGTCCCTACATTAAAAAAAAAAAAAAATTAAATACACTGCATGACTCTGGCAATGGTGGGCAGAACTCTGTTTTCCTATGCGTAGTAAAAGGAGGTGGGCTGGCCACATATTCTTGGTTCTGACAGTGCTTTAACCAGCTGTAATCCCGGGATGCTTCTAATGCTGTGAATCTGTCATTATTTCCTCTTTCCTTATTCCCATACTGAGATGGGCCTGAAATAACAAAGAGAGTCTAGAATCAAGGCAAACCCTAATAGGTCAGGACACTCAATTGATGGAGTTTGTGGGTGACTTTGTTAGAGGGAAAGTGAAAATCACAACAACAACAACAAAAGCTTATATCAGGTTGGGACTTATTCAAAACAAAAGACAACTTCCAAGACAAATTGGTTTTTTTCCTAAAGCCCTTAATGTCTACAACTAACAAATGAGGCACCTAGGCACTGAGAGATAGAGAAAGATTCAAATATGTTCACTGTGCCATACTTATGAAAGAAAGCACCTAGCACATAGTAGGTGATCAATAAATATTTATTAACATAAATAAATGAATTGAGTGAATTGATAGACGAACGAATCATTTTCATCAAAGTCTTTTAGCCTAGGTTCCTGTGAGCAGACTCAGGAGGCAGAGAGGAGGGGAAAGAGGCGGGAGGGAGGGAGAAGAGGGAGAGGAGGCCGAGAATGATCAGGCAGAGAAGCTGAGCTCTGGTATAATCTGAATAAAGGCCTCAGCTAACTACAGTGGGGGGTGGGGGGGGGGTGGCAGTGCTGAAACTGGAGTTGCCTTGCAGTGTCATTCCAAGTTGGACCAAGGAGGCCCAGCCTTTGTATCTATTTTGATCAGTTTGGGATGTGGGCTGCCCATAGAAGGAAGTCTTAGACAGGCAGTTTCCCCAAAGAAGTAATCCCCAAAGAGAGCTGTCCAGCACTTCTGGTAGCCCTACCAGTTGTTGGGGGAATGAGTCTGCAGGAGATTGAATAATGGCCCCCCAAAAAGTATTATTTCAGAGAGACCTACTTTGCTTATTTTATATTCTTACCTAGAAATGGTATTTTTGCTATAATATATCTTATTTCCAAAAAGGAACTATAGTCCAGCCGGTGTGGCTCAGTGGTTGAGTGTCCCCCCATGCACCAAAAAGTCGCCAGTTCAATTCCTAGTCAGGACACATGCCCAGGTTGTGGGCCTGATCCCCAGTGGGGGGCATGCAGGAGGTGGCTAATCAATGTTCTCTCTCATTGATGTTTCTCTCTCTTCCTCTCTCTAAAAAAACCAATAAAGAAAAAAAGAAAAAATCAAAACAAAAAGGAACTATAATACTTCTTGTTCAAATGTAGCTGTGCATTTATAGGCTTTTTACCAAAATAATCAAAATTATACAGATTATCTGACTATAATTACCTATAAACTGTGTATGCTATAATTTAATTATATTTTGAATAAGAGATTTGCATTTTGTAAGAGCATGTGGTATTTAGACACTAAGTCACTGGAAGAAAAGAAATCAAATTGATATGGAAGGTTTTAAGATATTTACATTTCGACTAAAATAAAGAAAAAAAGCCCCAGGTTTTTCTTACAGAGAATTAAAGTAATCTTTACTATCCAGAAATAATTGGAGCACATCAAGAAAATTGCATTTATGCTATTTGAAAAGAGAGGAGAGGATATATATCTATAAAATATAAAGCATAGAACTGGAGGTTTATTAAAAAACAAAAACAAAAACACCTGGGAAATCATCATAGCTTATGTGTGAAAAGACTCTTGCCCCATGAAATTCTGATGTGTTCTTTACATAAAATTTTTTGCCTTCATTGTTGAGTGTCAGAAGTCAGAAAGGTCTAGAATTACCATGTTATAAATGTGACTGAATTGGTTTAAAAAATGTTTCAAAATAGGTAGTTATCAAAAGAGTATTGCAATTCTCATTTAACAGTCAGTATTATTTTAAATGACTGCAAGCTTTTTTTCCCCCACATCTTGGCAGTACTAATTGGTCACACTGAACAAAAAGAAATGTTATATTCGTAAATGTTAAAAACATCAGTTAAAATATCCTGATCCTTGAGTGTCAGCCTGATTTTCCTCATGATTTTAAGCCAAAGAAGCTCTTAAAGGAAAAAAAAAAAGTCAATATAAAAAGAAGAAGGAAGAGACATTGCAGAGGAAGGCTGGGGAGTTGGGGTGAGCGGAATCAAAAAGCACAGAGAGAAATGGACAAACATTCCAGAAAGAGATTTTTAGTCTTAAACAAACTCTTATAGAGAATAGAAAATCAGAGAACACTATGTAACTCATTTTATGATGCTGGTATAGCCATGATATCAAAAACAGACAAGGGTGGTATAAGAAATTTACAGGGCAATTTTTCTCATGAACATAGATGTACAAATCACAGATGAAGTATTGGCAGCCTGACTCCAGCAATATATGAAAAAAAGATAATAAACCATGATAAGGTGAGGTTTATTTCAGGAAAGCAGAGTTACTTTAACATCAGAACGTCTTTTTATCATTACTATATTAGTGATATGAAGGAGAAAAAGCACATGGATATTTTAATCAACATAGAAAAAGGGTTTGAAACACAGCGAGAGAATTCATGATTTTAAACAATGCTTAGCAAACAATGACAGGAGCTTTCAACTTGATAAATGGTATCTACCAATTACATAGAGCAGACATTAAATGTGAAATGTTAAAATCTTTCTTTTTAATATCATAAATAAGACAGGATACCCACTATTATAATACCATAATAAGTATTATTATTACTGTTTTTAGTTTAATATTGTATTGGAGGTACAATGTGGGAAATAAGGGAGAAAAAGAAATAAAACTGTCGTCCTGGCCAGTTTGGCTCAGCAGTTGGAGTGTTGACCTGTGATCCAGAGAGACCCGGGTTTGGTTCCCGTTAAGGGCATGTAACTCAGTTGCAGTTTGTCCCCAGCCTTGGTTGGGTAGTGTGGGTGGTGGCCACTTGATGTGTCCCTTTCACATCGATGTTTCTCTCTCTCTCTCTCTCTCTCTCTTCCTCTTTCTCCCTCCCACTCTATCTGAACAAAAACGAAAAAATGTCCTCGGGTGAGGATTAAAAAAAAACGTCAATATTTCGAGGGGATATGACTGGCTACATAAAATATCTTAAAGAACATACAGACAAATTATTAGAAATCCAGACCCCCAAAGTCAATGCATTTTTATAATCTAGGGACAAACAGGAAATGTGATTCTAAAAATATTTATCATTTAAAATATCGTTTTTAAAAAAGGTAGCTGGAAATAAACCAAACAAAAAGTATGCAAATCTTGTATAGAGAAAAACATAAAAGTTAATTGAAAGATATTAAAGATTATGTAAATAGATAAATACATTACGTCATAGGTTAGAAGATTCAGATTTATAAAATGTTTACAAAACTTAGATTAATAGAATAAAGAAGAAAAATCACATTATCATTTTGATAGGTGAGAAAATATTCAATAAAATTCAGTAGCCCTTTGTAAATTAAATAAACCCTTTAGCACACTAGAAATAGAAGGAAACTTCATTAATGCATAGCAAACCCTATTCTCGATAATGGAATATTAGCATTCCCTGTACACTAAGAACAAGTCAGTGATGTCACCACTTCTGATCCACATTGAATGGAGGATCTAGGTTGTACAATAAGATAAGAAAAGGCGGTAAATTGTAGACATATTATTAGAGTGAATAAGAAAGTTTATCAAGGTTTTATAGCAGATAAATCTAAAAATTGAAGTTTTACTTCTATAGAGTAAAGAGTAAATAGTATAGAGTAAGAAAATGTAGCTTAAAAAGAACAAAGAGAATAAACCTAAGAATGAACCTAACATAGCTATTCTCCTTTGTTATCTTCTAAGTTTCATAGTTTTACAGTTAGGTCTGTGATATATTCTGAATTAATTTTTTTTTCTTTATTGATTTTAGACAGAGAGGAAGAGAGAGATAAAAACATCAATGAGAGAGAACATCTCCTGCATGTCCCCCACCAGGGATTGGGTCCACAACCTGGGCATGTGCCTTGACCGGGAATTGAACTGGAGACCTCTTGGTGCATGGGTTGATGCTTAACCACTGACCCACACTGGCTGGGCCAAAAGGACCATTTATTATTCCAATGGATAACTTATTGTCTGAACCTAAAATTGGGCCCATAATTGAAAAACTATAGATGCATTTATAAGCAGAATATTTGAAATCATGGTAGACTTGAAAAAATGTATATGTGGTTGCTATAATTAACCGAGATTGACTGACTATACTTTTGAGAAGAATGCTTCTCAAAATTCAGCATAGTAAGAAGAATGGGGAGAGTTTTGAAGATGCAGATTCTAGGCCTAGTCTCTAGAGATTCTAATTCAATGGGCATACAAGGAAGGCCTAGGAATATAAGAAGTTTATATCAGCACTGACCTGAAATATCTGAAGAACAAAAGACATCTACATTACTGTTATGTAGGCTCACACAAAGGGGTTACAACAGTGTATGTGAGTCTGGCTTGCAACTTAAATCCAAAATGTTCTGCGAATCAACTCAGTTTGAACACCTTTACATGCTATAAAAATGGACCAATCCTAAATTAGTCTGGAATATTTCTGCTCTGAATCACTTAATTAAATTACTAGCAATGGATCTATCAACAAACCAATAACAGAGAAAACATTCTTATTTTATGTAGGCAAAGCATAAAAATCCACTTTGATGTGAGGGGAAATTGATATCTGGGTTTCCACTTGGCTGTCCTCAATGTTAATTCACTCATACACATAATTTTA